TTGTGAACTATTGTAAAAACCACATGGGGTGGTGGTGGGTACAGAAAAGATCTGTATAAATTATATTAAATGATATATACCTACTGTAAAATTGGATGTGCATGTTTTCTTATTTGATGATACAAATATACTTTGATGAACATACAATAAAATATTTCTCTATGAAAGGAATAATAGTCATGTAGGCTGTAAATATACATACACAAAATATGGGCCACACACACACACACAGAACAGCGGCTACACAATAAACATTGTATTGATGATAAAACAGTGTTATGGGAAATTTTGCTTTGCCCATATGTGCCTCAAACTTGTGGTGAACTCTGTCCACCCAGAATATCTGAACTGTCTGCTCAGCAAAAGATAGCACAAACTGTCCCTGAAGAAGTATGCACTCCCTGAGTCTGTGTAGACTTCTTTTTGAGTTGGTGTATGTGTATGTGTGTAATCAGAACAGGTGCCTATTATCTAATCCTCTCTGAAACTTGCATGTGAGACCCGTGTTTATATGACTGGGTTTTCTTTCCTTTTTGAAGCCTCTCTAGCAGATCACTCTGAATGCTGTTGTAGATTGCTCCTTTCTTGCAAGAAATAAATCTCACAAAGACAGATGTGTCTTCGACCTTTATTCACATTCCTCACCAGTGAACTGGACTATTAGGACATACTTTTTTTTCACAACAACAGTGACCACCAACAATGCTGTTTACTGGCTATGCACAGGCTGAAGTGTGAAACGTTTCATCATGTCGTGTACAGTATGTTCAAATGCTCGACCATGTCTCCCTGCACATGCATGAGTATAAGTAAAATGCTGCAGAGGTAGCATTTTTGTCAAGACGACTTCGCCACACGTCCTGTATAAACGCGCAACTGAATGAGGAGAGACAGCAGCGTCAGCGAGGGCAAAGTGAAACTGAGCATTAAAACTTTATTTTATGATGTACAGCTCAATTGTTGTACAGCTGGAAAGTCCCATAAGTTCCATGCTGACATCTTTCATAAATCAGTGATCAGTGCTCTGCTGGCCACATAACGGTAACTCAACATCTGATGTGTTAACCATGCCTATATTAGTACATGTTGTCTGAGAGGAAAATGTGTTAGGGATGAAACGGAAGTGAACTTTTCATCGGCACTCTTACGCGAACCTGGAGAGAGGTAGGTGAACACACTTTGGTTTTTCCTTAAAAGGGTCTGTGTTTTCACAGGAAATATTATCAGTACTTTATGTGAAGTTAGTCTGGTGGAAAGTGTGTTCGTATGCCTTCAGAGGAATATGTTGATGTGTCAGACTCAGCTGTGAGCTTCCTCACTGACAAAAGCAGATTTACATTATACTGGTGTCTGTGGACCTTAACAATTCACCTTCTGAAATCTGAGCCCAGTAAGAAACAACATAAAAACGGTGATTTTCCTCAGAACTTATGTTGCATGGAACCATAGTGGAAGAAGAAGTGGGACCTTTGACTTAAGTAAATATATAGAAACATTCAAGTAAAGGTCCTGCATTTAACATTTAACTTGTGTAGAACTACAAGTATTGGCAGGAAAATGTGCTTAAAGTACCAAAAGTAGCTGTGCACCCATTTCAGAATACTGTTTGATTGGATTATAATTATTCTTGTTTTAATCTGTAAGCATCACATTAATGTTGCAGCTTTATTGACTTTATTTAATACTAATAGCATAATTTATAATAATATAGCAGGCTGGTGACACACTAAGGCTTTACTTATGCACAGAGGTGCTTTGAGCTCAGTGCCAGCATGCTCACAAAGTCACTGTTAATAATAGTGTGTTATGTCTGTGTTGTTTCATTTGCAATGATGGTCTTTAGAAGTCTTTACACAAATAACCTTCTTTCTTACAGTGATACTGGCGCAAGCATGATCCAGTTGATGTGGGCTGAGAATGACTTTGCATTGCCCAAGGGGGTAAATTGACTAGGCCTCTCTAAACCGGTTAGTGGTAAAAAGTACCTCATGTACCATGGCACCACCAGGAAGAATGTTAGGTCCATTCTGGTCGATGGTTTTCACCAGTCGGAAGATGGAATGCTTGGCCGAGGCGTCTACCTCAGCAGAGACCTGCAGAAAGCTAGCCGCTATCCTCTTGGTCACTCTGAGGATGACAGGGTCATCATTAAGGTTAAAGTTGATGTGGGGAAAGTGATCGCCATCACATATCAGGGCCACCCACGTCAGAAGAACTGACTCCAGATATGACCGAGTGTATGACACTGCCTGGGTGCCGCCCAACTGTGGAATGGTGGAGAGTAATTTGGAGGAGAATTGTGTCTGGGATCGTAAGCGAATAAAGATAATTGGCTTGAACTTCCCAAAACCAGTCCAAAAATGATATGGCGCAGGGGGCTACATGTGAGCTGTTACCAAATTATTTTATATGTTAAAATGTATTTTCATATATTTAGACTTAAATTAAATGCTGCATTTTGTTATTGTGCCATTGTGACCTGCAAAATAAATATATTATGTTAAGTTTCAGTTGCTGTGTCATGAGCATATTTTTATTCTGACATGCACATTTAAATCACCTGCTGCATCTCTAATACGGTGGAGGTGAATAGAATATTATTTGTGGTTCTTGGAGTATTATAATACATGTTAAAAACTTTAAAGCAACGTGTCTTTTCAGAAATATGTTCCCCATTGTTCTAGATAATCCAGAGACTTTGTTGTCCATTTTTCACTGGAACTATTTTCCTTCAAAGAAAGATAAGATATGTCAAGGTAACAAAGATCACAAAATCTCAAATTACCTGAAGATAGAATCAATTAAATTAAGTGTTTCTTATAAGAGATATTATTATTAAGAGATAAAAATAAAGAAAATATCATATTTTGACACTTCTTGGCCAACAACTCAACATCACTGTTGTGTTTATCAAACCTACTGTAAATCAATGTCTGACAAAAAAACAGTTTAAGATGTGAAACAGAAGTAAAAGAAAGCTAAGATCTCTTAGTTGGGACTCTTAGACAAGCCTGGAGAGAGGTACGTGAACACAAACTTTTTGTTTCCTTTAATACAGCGGCTCCTGTGCTGGCCCAGGAGGGGGAGCACCGAGAGCAGGTCATCGCCTACAGCTGCGTACTGAGCCGACCAGAGAGGAACCCACCAAAAGCGGCCTGCTGTCATCCTGGGAGTTCGCCATTTCCAGCCCTACCATTATGGGCAGAGATTCCTCCTCTGCACTGACCAGTGGCTCAGCCTCCTCAGCCAGGATGCTCTTTTCTACCCCTGCTGGCAGGGCCCAAGGGGCCACGGCACACAGCTCATGGTGCCTTGTTGACAGCAGCACGAGGTCCTCCTGCTGGTCCATGGCTCAGTGGGGCAGGCCACTTTGGGATCGCTAAGACTCTGCATTGGCTGTGATCCTGCTTCTACCGGCCAGGCTACCACCAGGATGCAGGCCTTTACGTCCATTTGTGTGACTCCTGCACAGCCCAGAAGGGGCCAACCCAATGTTTGCATGCTCTGCTGCAGTAGGACCAGGGGGGAGAGTGGAAAGTGTGGGTGTGTACATCCTGGGCCCTTTTCATGGACCAAGGGAACTGTTACATCCTCATGGCCATGGATTATTGCATCAAGTGGCCAGAGGCATACATGGTCCGTGACCAGAGCACTGTCATCACAGCAGAACAACTATTACTACCACCTCCGGGAGTGGTTCTGAGAGACGTACAAACTGACCAGACAGGCCCTTTGGGACACGGGGTCTCACCCGAAACAGGCCTAAGATGTACCTTGCAGAGGAGAGGACTTTGCCCCTGGTGTGGGTGTACACCCCGGAGTGGAAGAGAGGACTCTGTTTTCTAAGAAGCCACTGGGATGGGCCCTGCATTGTGCTGCAAAGACTGTCTGTACAGGGTGAGACTGAAAAAGCAGGGCCGAGTAGTGGTGTTGCACAGGGACTGGCTTGCACTGTACCGGCCCCTGGCCCCACTGGAGGGGAAAACAAACACTGGGAGCAAGCCACCGGCTTCCAGCCCCTCTCTGCCAGCTGGCCAGGGACCCACAGAGCAGCCTCAGCACCAGCGCAGGGTGCCCCAATGCTTGAGGGACTTTGTTAAGACTGTGGGTTACTGAGGAAAGTTAACCAGCCAGATGGGGGGCTGTGTAGTGTTGGGGGACAGAGAGAGACACTTGGCAGAATGCCTGCTGGGCGTGATGGGAGGTATGCAGTTCAGGTTGGTGATGCTAGTGTGTTCTGCTGGAGTTATTGCTGTTGCCCCTGCATGAAAATAAAGTGGCCTTTTGCTGACAAAAAGGACAGTTCAGCATCTCCTTCACCAGCCAGATGTTCATTCACTTAGGTCACTGGCAATTCTCTACATGAAATCTGGTGCAAGGTGTATTAGAAGACTAGCAGTGATGGAGCAGAGGGAGACTCAGCTGGAGCATACTACATGTACTGCACAGTATGTAGTGTGTGTTTACTGCATGACTGGGAACACATAATGTATAGAGAAGCAATTTCCTTAGCTGATATAAAAGAAATTTTGTTAGTATGCATGCGTAATGTAAATGGCTGTGGACAAAAAGTGGAAAGATGGTTTATCATAATGAGTAATTCTTATATTTTATTACATCTCCTATCAGCTGGGAGAGTTGCTTCAATTCTGTAAACATGTGGAGAATGGATTTTATTATTCACTTTAAATTTGTGTATATATTGTGTATAGATGGATAAATGCACCTCCACTATTGTACTTTTGGTCATAATATTGTACTTTCCTGCTGTTGCCACTGCCACCTATCCCACGAGTATTTTAACACTTTTTAAAACTGTAGTACTGGTATTAACTGGTACAAATGTCGGGTCCAGCCCTGCCACTGACTGATGTTTCTCCTCTTCACTGGTTTTACAAACTGCAGCGACATCATTTGCTCTAAATGTGAAAATAAATGTTTTCTCTAAACAGCTGACTCGTTAATGTCCACATGAGGGCCTCGGTGTCCTCTGCTCTCTGCAAATCTCTCCTCATTTCATGCCTTTACCAAATTCCCTCCTCCCGCCTCCTCCTCCTTTGTGCCTGCCTGCCAGTAGCCTCTCTCGGGCCGCGTTGGGCAGGATCCACATCCCGCTGTTGGCGTTTATCGGATGGGGCTCTCAGTTTGAGCCGGAGGGAGGAGGGGGAGAAAGATGAACGGTAACCCGTGTGGCCGCAGGCTGGCCCGGCGCTCCAGGTCCGCCCTGCTGCTCGCTGCTCTGGCGGTTCTGCTGGTCCAGACTCTCATCGTGTGGAACTTCAGCAGCTTGGACTCTGCTGGTAGGAACCGGGAGGAGAGAGAAGACCGAGCAGGGGGACTCAACAAGGCCGACAGGGAGCACCCGCGGACGGGGCTGAAAAGGAAGGGCGACCCGCCGCCGCCGCTCGGAAGGGCGGCCGTTCGGCACAAGCTGCAAGCGGTAGGTGTAAGTGGTAGGCTGCCAGCTTTATTATCTATGATGAGCAGGTTTGTGAGTTTTGTTGTGAATTAATTAGATTTTTGCACGTGTATATTCTTCCCGGACTGAAAACGAGCGTCTAACCCCAGAGAAACCACATGGTAGCAACAGAGAAGATGCTCCTGGGAGGCTGCAGCTGCCCCCCTGTTGTTTTGGCATTTGGATCAGCACATTGGACAAACGGGGCCAGACTTAATTTCACAATCTGTCAATTTAAGGTGCCGATTAATGGCCAAGTAAAACTGTAGACCACTTGTTTTACTGTGTGTAACTGCATCCAATGTGCCAACAACAGCATTTGATTAAGATTATGTTAAGGTAGCTATAGAAACATTTTAATTGGTTTACCCAGTTTTCATTACAGTTGATACTTGGTAGTGCAAAGCTGGCAGCAACTTGTTTAAAAAGATTTCTACGTGCTTAATTAATATTAAGGTAACTGCACAGAACACATAGTCTCATCTTGAGTGTGGTCATTAAAACCTTTGTGAACCTTTGTGACTGGACTGACACATTAAGAAAGTAGGAAATGATTAAGGCACAGAAATCCCCTGGGACTTTAGCCCGATTTGTATACAGTTGGAAAATATTGATCCCAAACAAAAACTCTTTGTTTATCTGTTTTCCCACTTGTGAGTCTTTTGGTTTGCAATATTTCCAATTTACACCACTTGATTCATGCATCCTCTCATCACCTGTCACCTGCTTTCCCTGTATCTGCACATGCATATTCCTATTAGAATAATGTCTACAGTACATCTGTATGATCTGGAGGAGATTCCAGTGTTTTTTACATTCAAAAATTATGTTGTGTGTGTGTATAGCTCATGTTATATATGCAGCTGAGTGTGAGGAAAAAGAGCAAGAGACATGGGTTGTATTGAATGTCCTTTTCATTAGTTAACCAGATGCCCTGTGATCTTCCCTGTCCGCGTGTGTTTCTATACATGTCTTTATTACATTTTCTGGGCCATTTTGTTTGGATGCCAATCATGCCGTTATAGTGAAGACAATTTGTTAGGTCCTCACGACTTCAAAGAGCTTTGTGAGGATTGAGACTTGCTTTTAGGCTTAAGTGTATCAGGTGTCGGTTAGGTGAGGCTTGGAGTAGGCATTTAGTTGTTGTGATTGGCTGGGTCAGGGGCCGGGGAATGCATTCTGTCAGCGAGTGTCCTCACAACTGTAGTAAGACACAACTCTGTGTGTGCGTGTCTATGTGTAGTTATATGTCCTCGTTTTTTGCTTTTAAAACCATAGAGATACATGCCAGCACTTCTTATATGACAAGGATTTGATTTTTGCTTTTAAAACCAACCAGCACTTCTTATATGACAAGGATTTGCAAGGGGAAGAGAGGCAGAGTGAGAGAGATGGAAGAGGAGAGAAAACGGTAAAAGGAAAGCAGTGGTGAAGAAGAGCCAGTGTTGTAGTACTCAAGTCCAGATTTTCAGACCTTGTGACTCAATGTGGACCTGAGCACCGATGACTCGGACATGTACTCAGACTCCAGCATTGACTGCATTCGGACTCAGAAGTTGAAGATGAGAACTCTTTAAGTAAAAAGCCATAATACACTGGCAAAAGATATTGACATTAAAACTTGTTCGCCTGCACCATGCTGCATCTGGCACACTTCCATCAAAGTGTACACTCCACCTTTCTATAAATTATTTTTATCTATCAAATTGCCGAGCAATCCGGTGATGCAGTGCACTGTTAGAACGTTTGGTGTGTCAGCTGTGTTTAATGTAAACCTTGATGACTCTGACTTGGGCACAGTGTCTTGACTTGGTTTGGACTTGGCTTGAGTTATTCTTTGGTGACTCAGTGGGGAGTCGAAACTCGACTCAGATTTGAGGTTTAGTGACTCGATTACAACACTGGTGGATATAAAGCTGATATTTATGCATCTGTTTCAAATAAAATTGTTGCCTGAGGTGCATCAACTTTCCATGAATGGGTCAGAACATCGGTGTAGGAAGGCACTGAATTTCAGGCTGGTCTGGGGAATATTGTAAGGAGCAGTGTTTCATATCGTTATGAGCTGATTACCTTTTGGGTTTTGGACTCTTGGTCCATTAGATTACAACAAAATACTTGCCAGGCAGAAAACTTGATTCTCAGGTAAAGAAATACAAAAGTGCATGCAAGTCTCTTTAACCTTCACTGCAGCAGCTTCCACAGCGCACACATTCACATTTATATACGTTAAAATACCAACAGTGTTCAGCTTTGCAGCAGCCTGGAGGGGGAATGTGTGTGTGTTAATGTTTGTCCATCATACTGAAGCACTGTGTGTACTGGCTGTCGATATCCAGTAGCCTGTGTTTACAGCATGTGTGGATGGCACCATGCTTACACAATTCTCACATTCATCGCACCTTTTGAGGGAATAGACATGCACACATAGACTTTGTTGACCAAATGTGTATCAGAGCTGATTCACATCAGCCAGGTCAGATCAGATTAGAGGATTGGTTTAGATCAGATTTCTCTGATGGGATTTATGCTTTCTCATCTAGTTTAGATTGTTCAGTAATCCCTAAATGCTGTTTGTGTGTGTATGTGCTCTGCCCTGTCTGCGAGGACTACTTTTAGACCTCTAGTGTGAGAACAATTCATTATAGGCTGGGATTACTCATGTAGTTGTGATGGTTGTAAACGTTTTTTGGAAGCGCTGAAAAATTGCTTTTGAGAAGCTTTATCTTCTCTTTCCAGAAATACTGTCCTAGTAAAATTCATGTACCTCGCTATCAGCAAGACAACTTTTTATCCTCGCCGGTGTCATGGTTCTGGAGATGGAAGTGTTGGTCTGCCAGTCCACCACTTTGGTTCAGTCTGGTGAACCGATTTGTTCTGTGACCGTGGTGATTCAGTGTATTCGGTTCAGTATGTTGATTTGTTGTGAGGTTCTGTTGTTTGCACATGTACTGAACACCTCTGGAGATTCTGCACTTTGCTGTATTGTCATGCACGACAGTGGTAGATCTGATGTAAACTAACAAGAGGCCAATGAGTGTTGGGCTGCCCATTAATACCATTGAAGGTTTGGAAGTTTTAGCTCATGTCTTTCTTGAGATAGGTAGAGCTTAGATAAGCAAAGCCATGAGCCTCTGTTATTTAAATTGAAACTACAAATAATATGTTTCATCCTGGTAAAATTATTAACTGGGGGGATTAGTGTTAAAGATGATTCCCTCTGAACACATCATGCTGGAACGGTAGTGTCTCTGTTACCCATTTAGCATGACATACTGATGCTAAAACCAGAAAGCTGCTATATGTCTTTATTTCTTTGAGATAATTGCTAAATCTGGCACAGATAGACTTAAATCCCCACTGTAATCCTGGGTCATCCTACAGGACAGAGCCTACAGAGCCGGGTTTCACAGCATCATTTCATCCCTCTAGCTTTATTCTAGCTTTTCTGAGGGGTGTCAGCCTGGACAGGAATTATGCTATAGATCGATGATATTGATATTTTGATGATTTTGGTTTTAATTTTTTTGATGTAGCACCTAGTGCTCTTTGAGCTGGTAGGTGCTTTATAAATACATATTATTATTATTATTATTATTATAATAGTGCATTTAGCTCACTTTATCCACCTGTATCTGTCTCTACACCTCTGTTTTGAGCATTTTGTTTAGACGGATTACTTCATTAATTTCCTCAGGGACATGATATATTCCTCTTTTCCTGAAGCTATGACGTAAACTACGGATGCCTGGTTGCAACAAACTGTACAAAACGTACAAGTTAACTAAAGAGGAGTAAAATTGTCTAGTCTGGTTACTGCTAAGGTGACACAAAGCATTAACATTACACAAAGCTCAAGTTACTCCCAGATTAAAATCATATTATTTCAATAGGTCGCTAATGCTATTGAGACAAACATGTTAGCTTTAGATCCAGAAGGAAGGATGTCAAATCTGGTATTGGCCAATACTCTGAATGAGGGATTCCCTACTGAAACATCCCTATTGGTACAGAGATGAGATGCTTCAGGATCTGTCTGGTTCAATTCAGCGGGTGATCAGTCACATCGTAGTCAACACAAACAGCTCAGTCAGGTGCTGTTATTTGAGAAATAAACTTAGTGTGTACTGCATACACCCGGCTGAAGTGGGTTTGATTATTACCTGTTTTATCCAAGAGAATGTGCATTGAGTTGAAGTTGCACTATGACGGTATGAAATTTTCAGATACTAAACATTCATGAAAACATTTTCCCAACCATTTCGATGGATTCATAAACACTGGCTGAAATGAGGCTGTTTTTCTTGAAAACCTGATATTTTAGGCATATTAGGATTCCTTGCAGCAGCAGCAAATTCCACGACCTACATTTCCCAAGATACACTGAGTACAAACACACACAACAGTATACGAGGGTTTGATTAATGCATGACAGGGGCCTCTTGATGCTGTGAATAGCCTGGTGAAAGAGCTGTCTGTTGCTCATTATGAAGGTGTTTTCTCTCTCTGTCTCACATACACAACACCCAACTGTTAATTTGTTCATAGAGAAACCTTATTAATTATTAGGGGTGTGATGAGATTTTGTGCAATGAGATCTCACAATATTAAAATGTGATGATATTTCTGGTTGAGGCAAAAGCTGTCTCGCTATATCAGTACTTGACAGAACCAGGCCACTTTGATCGAGTGTGACGATATGTTCACATAGTGGGTTTATCATCCAGTCCTAACGAAAAAGCATGGTGTGTTGTTATGGTGTATTAACTGTGGCCCAAATACTAACGAAAAAGCATGGTGTGTCGTTATGGTGTATTAACTGTGGCCCAAATTCAACGGTGAATAGCAGTGCTAACAAGGTAAACAAAAGTCTTCTTCTCGTGGGTGTCACCATCCCCCTGATTGTCCCCCATGCGTGATTGGGCAACACAGCACCTTTGCCGGGTGATGTCACCGTCTGGTCTGGTGCAGTGCAGTGAGGGTGAAATAGCACAGAAGGTCACATATAGCTTCAGTTAGTAGTTGAAACTCATGCATAGGTCATGCACAGTTATAAGGTCTGAAGAGACCTGTGTGAAATCATACGAGAGAGAAGCCAGTCAGTTGAGTTTGTGCAAAACCTTTTCCAGTGCTTGCATATTGCTGTCTTTTACTGCATATCATATTTCATATTCAAAGTGGAACTCAAGTGGCATTTATCACAAGTTGATGAGTTAAAACATTTCAATACACCTGCATTGTTTTGTATTTTGTGACCTTCTGTCAAATAAGACAATTCTCCCAGTCATATTTATTCATTGAAGATTTCTCAGATAGTGACAAAATATCACCTCGTTCTCATGAACCCAATATCGTGTATCATCTCATCTCGTGAGCTAAGCATATCATCACACTCCTAATAATTATCTGTCACTGCAAAGAGAACAGGGACAGATAATTCAACTTTTATTAGCTGTTTGTCCATGGAAGCAAAGGTTATAAGTGTCAAATTAAAAATGAAACAAAATCTTACAGATTGTGGTGAGGAAGTGGCAAAATGTGCTAAGCTGCTGAAATCAACTGTCAACCATCATGAGGCTTTAGGTTAGAAACAATCCTGTTGTTAACACCAATAAATAAATACCTTTGTCATTATTACCCACAATCCACTTCAGAATGTATTCAGACCCCGTTAGTGTTGCAGGTTCAATTTTAAATAGCTGTTTTTGCATCAAGCTGCACTCAGTAACCTATTGTGAAAACATAGCTATTCATCATTTTGAAAATGTAGTTTAACATGCACAAAAGAAGTCCAGGAATGAAGGCTAACATTCTCTACTTTTATGGTTATACCTGTAATACAAACTCTGAGTTTGAAAATTCACTAGATTAATTCATCGCGTCATACTTTTCACTGTATATTTATGTGTGCCCTTTGAGACTGTGGTTTTAGGTTTGAGAGATTTGGAGAGAAAATTTGGGTAGCGATAGAAATGGATTGTTTTAAAGCTGCAAATAACACCATCTGGCAATCTTTCAATCAGGATTTCAACAATTGATTGATTGTTTTGTCTATAAAAACACAGGAAAATGTTGAAAAATCACAACATCACAGTTTCCCATAGCCCTAAACAATATCCTCAAATGCCTCCTTCAGCTGAAAAGCTGAACTAGGAAACACTTGCCTTTTTTGTCTTGGTCGATTTTGATCTCTGAGATTTTTTTGTCTGACCTGCCGATTCCAGTTTTAGTCAATTCTGAAGAGCTATAATGGACAATATAAACATTTATGAAGAAAAATTTTACTATAATAAAAGTAAAACATTGTTTTAAATACGTTTCTTTACATTTTCCATCTTCCTCTCTCCCTCGTTTTTTTTCCAAACCAACTAAAAATGAAGTGCAATATTTGTACATCTCCAAATGTAAACAGGTGCAACAGTAATAGAAACAGAAGACCGTCTGTCTGTTATATGGTACATCGATCCCATGGAACACACAGTTCTTTTTAAAGTGTTTGTAATTTTTCATTTGTTGTTTTACCATAGGTTGGATACACTGTAAATATACATTCATTTCCAGTATAGCCAGTAATTTTCCCATTGTCTACTATTTGTCAGAGTTTTGGATGTAGATTTCCCTTCTTTAAGGTGTTTCAATAGGCTCCTCTCTTTGTGCACTTTGTGTACATGAAGCGCTTCCAATGCACGAGGTGCATGCGAGATGTTAGGTTTTTGGTTTGTGTCACTCTGTGCATGACATGAACCACTGTGACCAGCACAAAATCAAGTGATCAGCCGTCAAGCTAAAGACTAGCAAGCTCTGATCTCTAACCAATCGATTGGGGCATCTTTAGTATTTTCCATGTCTTTAAAACCTTGCATGTAGATAAATCATAATGTCTGTCATGTTCTCTTTTTTTGTCCTTCCAGTGTAACCTGAAGCCTTTGAGCAATATTTTCTGATCCCAAAATATGTTTCTGGCTAAAGGCTCTAAGGTACATTTGCCAGATGTACATGTAGGCTGCTATGTCATCAGCTGTATTGTAGCTCTACATGAGAGTCTGATATTCTGTATGTTTCTGTATTTAATCCCATTAAAAGGAATGAAGAATGTTAGTCCATTCTCTCAAAACTTTCAGACTTCCTTAAACTGTCTCAGCTTTTGCTGACAGTTTTTAAATAAAATAAAAAAACATGCTAGAATTTTTCAGATTCATCCCTGTCAGTGTGAACATGGCCTGTAATCAACAGATGTTAGAGCAACAGGTCTCCTAAACTGTTCCTCTCTCCCTCTCTCACCTCTTTTAAAGTCTCTCGCCCCAGGCGCTTGAGGGAACAGTCTCTCTTGTCTCTTTTCTGTTGCCTTTATCATCAAGCAGCAGGAGGTCTGAAGGCAGCACAGACAATTTCAATAAGAACCTGCTGAGGAGAGAGGCTGAGAGCAAACTTGCTCACTCAAGAACACAGCAAGAAGGCAGTGACTCAGTGTGTGTGTGCGTGAGTGTAAAGAATGATGTCTTTGTAGGTAAGCAATGGTATTTTAGCTGTGGCCGGTCGCCACGGAATGCACAGGCTTCTGGGAAAAGATGCACAGCTCTTTAGAAAGATCTGTGAAAAGCTCCAGCTCGTATTATTCTGTCGAACAAATTGCAGCCAGAGTCAAGGACATTTTTATAGTTTTAGTACTTTGAGATGCTTCATGTAGGAGCTGATGTGTATCAGTAGAAAATGTTGTTTTCCAAAAGACTTAGAATAATAATATAAGCTCATAATTATTTTTTATTATTGACTAACCTGCTGTTGATTCGCTCAATCGCTGTTGATTCGCTTAATCAATTTACTTGTTTGGTCTTAAAGATGTCAGAAAAAACTGAGGAGGAAAAAGTCCAATCAAAATTTACAAGATCCCAAGGTGATATCTTCAAACAACAGTCCAATATGGCGATGCTACTATATTTATTATAGTTCCAGATTAGATTTTTTTTTTTTTGTGAATGGTAAAGCAGTCATCCTACCGTAGCTGCTGTATGTTACATTAAATTTTTGAACATGTTCAGCTGTAAAGTGATGGGGACAAAATTACTCACTGATTATAAATAAAAAATAAATAATTGGCAGGTTTTCAAAATTTAGTTTACGACAGTTAACTGACCAGATTTCCACAATTTCACTTTCCTGTTGCACCACTCTTACAAAGAAACTTTATATTTTAGCACCAGTGCTGGTAAGGCACTAATTATAGATAAATCCTCAATATGCTAATTTTGTCTGAGACATGTCTGTGTATTGATGTGTGTAAGCCTTTTATCTCTCTCTGTACACTGGAGGTGTTATTTCAGGCTTCAGGTGTACTTTTACATTCTCAAGGAGAGCAGGGAAGCTGAAGGTGATCATTGTGCTGCATGCGTACACACATACACTTGTACCTCTATCTTTGTGAGGACATTCATTGATATGATGCATTTTCTAGCCCCTAACACCAAACCTTAACCTTAAGAACTAAGTGCCTAATTCTAACCTGAACACTAAATACTTTTTGGTCCTCAGTGCGAGCAGTGGGACTCCGTCAAAAGTTCACATTTGTTTAACTTTGACTTTTGGTTGTGCTGACCTCTGTGTGCGCAGTCAATCAGTGTTTTGCCCTGGCTTCATAGAACCCCAGGTTATAGGTAATCAACATTTCTGAATTTTCCCAAACTGTACAATGATATGATCCTTGTGTCAATATTGGGTAAAGACAAACCACCTATTTAGTTAGCGAAATATCTGCACCCAATGGCCGCTACCAAGACTGTTTTAAAAAAAAACTGTATGGTCCTCTAAAATGTAACTTTGTTGAGTTACTGCTGGAAACATTAGCATTGTAGCTGCCCCATTTTGTATAGCGTCCCCAGAAATGTCTGCTTGAGTTTCAATGACGACCAGTGCGGAACATGCAGCGCAAGACTCTCGTTTTTCCCACTGTAATGTGAACATACCTAAAACCCTACAGCCAAGGTTTAACCCTCGGCAATATGAATGTGTGTGAGAAATGAGGACCAGCCAAAATGTTGTCACTTCACCAAAATGTCCTCCCCTCCCAGGGCCTGAACTTGAACCTGGTCCTCACAACAACAGCCATACAAGTATACACACTCACATTCCTCTAAGCTGATATGACAGATGAGATAATGAAAGGTTGTCTGGTGAGCAGGTGGTAAGAGCTGATATTACTGCCTTCCCACAGGCGGTCTGTGTGTGTGTGTGTGAGGCTCATGCACAAACACATAACCAGAAACACAATTTTTATCCCTGAAAAATACTGATATAAGGCAATCTGTGGGATTCAAATATGAAGTCATGTGCCTCTGCTACTGAAACACACACACACCTCACCACTTGACTGACTGCCTGTGTCTCTGGGGTCAAATGTCACTTCTTTTCTTTTATTCCTGATTTTCTTTCCTCTTTCTCTTTGCAATATTACCATGTTTGAGTGTTTATATTTGCTGTGTTTAATGCTAGTTTTGTCTCCTGTCTCACAGGATGTCTACCATTCCCACCGCCCCAAAGAGAAACGTCGCCTGGACAGCAACAATAACGAGAACTCAGTCCCCAAAGACTTTGACACTGTTGACAGCAACAGCAACTTGGGAGCGCGAGCCCAACCTCAACGGACGCCACTCGGAAATGTCAAGCACAAGCTAGATATGGGCCAAGCACAGAGCATTCTGGGAAAATCTGCTAACGAGGTCCTCAATTACCATGTAATCCAACCCAGAGAGATAGGTCACAATCACAACCGCACCTACATCCTTAAATCCCACCCCCAGCTGCCGACTGTCCCAGCTCCAGTCCAGAGGTCCAATCAGGATCTGTCTTTCTACCGGTCAAAGAAATCGACAAGTTCACTGCCACCTGGTTTGAAACTGAAGAAGGAGCTGCCGCAGTGTGAGATAAGCGGGAAGGAAGCCATTTCAGCTCTGTCAAGAGCCAAGAGTCGAGAGTGTCGGCTGCAGATAGTCGAGGTTTACTGCAAACACAAAGAGAGTATGTTGATGCCTGAGAAAGTGGTTCGGTACTGCCCCATAGAAGGTGAGATCAGCAGACTGAGGCTACAGTGTGTTGACAAAATAGTATAAAATAATGATTAAAAACTTAAATATGGACACTTCACCATTCAATTCACTGGTAAAGTGTGTCCAAACTAGTAGTGTATTTGTTGGGCTTTTATAGTGTGAGGTATAATCTAATTGAGATGTAAGTGTAATTTGTCTCTTTATGACAAAATATTTCCCTGGTCATTTAACTTTATGTAATATTTTCTCCTTAATAATTTTGTACACTGATCTAGAAACTAAAAGTGCTGGAAACTGTACAAATTAAACTTTTTAGATCAACTTGTTATGAGCTGCAGGATCCTGTTTGAATACAGAATTTTCTGCCAAGGTTTGAACAGCTTTGGTTATTTCATATGAGAAATGTCTGCATTTGTATTTTATTCTGACCTGCAGTGCAGAAGTTAGTCTTTTTTCCCTCAGATATCACCTCCTGATTCAGGCTGATTAGAGGTTTGGTTGTGACTTGGACCAGCTGTCTTTTTTTCCTGATATTGCAGCATGCTGCTCTGAGTAGTCACTGTGAAACACACGGTATTATCTGTTCATTTCCTGCAATACCTTCACTGTAAATACAGTATCAATGGAAGCAATGAGGCACCACCACCATCACAAGATGCTAACGAAATAACATTTAAAGGTAGTACATTTGGACTACGGTAACATCAGCAGAATGGGACGAACAGGCAGCTGCTTTGAAGTGACAGATTGCAAAAAGTATTTTTTCTCAAATGTATCCACTGAGAAAAATTTTTACTTTGGCACGTGCCAGTGCCATGGAGAGGCATCTCATTGGTTGCCAGTCCTATTTTCAGCAAATTAAAACATGAATAGACACAGTGAGGCTGCTGACCACAAGGAGTATACTCATCCAGCGTAATTACACCCTAATTAAACAAGCAGTTTGTAGTGTTATTTTTGGAAAGGCTGACTAATGATTTACTTATATCTATGCTCTTGGAACCACCCTGGGCTGTTTTAGGGTTAATGTATATGATCATAGGTTCCTTTGATGACACACTAGTCATTATTTTCACAGACTGAAACTGGGCCAGAACAGCAGTAACAGATCGTTTGGTTTGGGCTGACACAGAAGTTTGACTGATGTGCACACCCGTCTTTTCAGAAGAACAGAAAAGTTGTTGAAACGAAGTTAGGTGTTTCTGTGCTCACGCAGACTTGAGAGCACATCCGAGGTTGTACGCAACATTATTCTCCTCCTACTCCCTCCCCTGCCTCCCTCTGTCTGCATAGCGATGCTCGACTGAACCATCTGATTACAGTGATTTCTCCTCAAACTCTAACCCCAGTGCGCCCCACAGCCTGGGAAGGTTTCTAATTAGGCTGAGCAGGCTTCAACCCGTGCCATCTTTAGAGTGAGCATAGTGATGGAAAGGCATTAGGCTGTCAGATGGTTTATATGGTTTATACAAGAGACAGATTTAACTCAGTCATAGATGCAGAGTATTTCCAAAAAAGATAGAGGGCTGGAGCAGAGAACAGGGCTGACAGAGACACTGATGTCATCTAACAACCCACTCTTGAGACCGAGAAATAAAAGGGTGACTAACAGTGTTCACTGAACATTGCTAATCAGATCCATTTTACTTGAATAAATCTTTGTCCTTACATTTTTACCAATGACAGTTGAACTGCAGTAGTAGGGTTGCAACAGTAATTTACAGCACTTGATAAATTGAAACAATAATTGTGAGATCAGTCATTTTGGCCAATAATAAGTCAGAAAACTGATGTATGGATGGAACGTGATGTTTTTGACCAACTGACCAAAACCAAAAAATAGTCATATTCCTATCATAAGACAAAAAGAGGTAGTAAATCTTCATATGTAAGAAATGGTAACCAGACATTATTGAAAAATAACTTATTCAACTTTTTAAATGGTTGCTAATTAAAATTCTGTCTATCCACTAATCAAATCATTCCTACCCTAGACTGCAGGCATGCCTTTGTTGCAGATGGAGGAATTCAAGAATGTGAAATCTTTGTGTATTCACCACCTGAAAGCAACATTAAATTTAAATCACACTAACTGCCCTTTCAACAATGCAGTATGTTTCTTCAGCTGATATCTCTGACTTCCCTGTCCAGGTAAGGCTAATGTGAACATACAGTGGCATGAGGACCCCTCAGATACTGCCCCATCTGCGCCTGTACGGATTGCCTACGTCCTGGTCGTCCATGGCCGAGCCTCGCGTCAGTTGCAGCGTCTCTTCAAAGCCATCTACCACACTTCCAACTACTACTACATCCATGTAGACCAGGTGAAACCACTGACTGTCATTCAAAACTTGTTTCATATTTCTTCAACTGACATCACAAATGTAAGGTTTGCCCCCAGAAACCACTACAACTAAGTGATACTACAGAGGAAAATTTAAGTTAATGAAACTGGAATCATTGGCAGAATTTAAAGCTATGCAGTCATGAAGGATTCCTTTTCTATTTGCTCTTGTTTTTAGCTCAATTCTAGTTTTGATATTTGTTTTATAGTCACTTTGTTCTTATATTTGTGGATCTTGAACATTCTTATGTGTTGTACGTTTTGTCTTGTCTGGAACTTGCTATGTTACTGTCTTGGCCAGGGCAACATTGAAAAAATAAAATAAAATAAAATACTGCATTGACTGAAAATAACCCTCCAATCGTGGAAGCAGACATCAATGAGAACAAATTCACATCTGTTCGAACTGTCAAAAAGACTACTGGGCAACAGGGAGTCATTTGATTTAGTCTTAATGCCCATGTAAAAAGTACTTAGAAAATTCTCTCCCCTCTCAGAGGTCCAGCTACCTCCACAGAGAGGTTCTGTCTCTGGCCAGCCAGTATCCAAACGTCCGGGTCACCAATTGGCGGATGGCCACAATCTGGGGCGGGGCCAGCCTGTTGACTATGTACCTGCGCAGCATGAAGGACTTGCTCAAAATGGCCGACTGGTCCTGGGACTTCTTCATCAACCTTAGTGCTGCTGATTATCCCATCAGGTGAGAGAATGGGTCAGTCACAGGAAGCAGAGAATGGGGGGGGGAATCACCTCTTAGTGATTAGTTTGATTTTACTTTTTTACTGCAGGCAGTTTGAAACCGAAGTTGAAATTTGAGAATATAGTCTTAAGTGAAATGTTCATTGTTCACATTTGCATTTCAAATGTTGGGACAACAGTTTTAAAAAGTTAAATCTGAGGCCCATGTCACGATATTTCAAGATAAGACCTAGTTATTCTTAGCAGAAAAGCAAAAGACAAAAGGCCGGAAGACAGAAGTGGTCTCAGTGACACACATTCTTGGTCCAAAAAGCTTTTCTTAAAAATCACATTATTTTTTCCCCATATATACAGCTGCAAAATAATAGTAGTTTTACCAGTCATGTCAAGTTCCTGCCAAACACACAGCACACTGATTTGTAAAGCATTGTGTCAGCTAATGGCCATTAACCTGTGGCCTTGCAGTCCTGCATGGCCTTTATTGGTCTGTGTGAGGTCTTATGGATCAGGTTATGTGGCCAGTAGGCCAAACGTGCATTGACTGTGAATGGACGACTTGTCCATAGCACTGAAGGAGAAGACTTTAATTGTTGTCTTGCTGCTTGGGGATTTGAGGGGATCTGTATTGTTGAGGAAAG